CTGTTAGTACTGGACACTTTTCTAACCGAACAAACAGATAGGAAACAATTCCACATCAAAATCTAGAATTTAGAAACAATTGGCCTGGTTCACACTAAGTTAAAAACCTGTTTGTAAGCCTTATTTTTCTTCCTAGAAGGATTTTCCATTTCATAATTCAAAAGAAAACTAAATTAAGTGGTCCTATGTGCTAATCAGTAGGAATGCGGTGGCTCAGTGGCTAAGATGCTGAGCTTGTCGATCGAAAGGTCAGCAGTTCAGCAGTTCGAATCCCTAGTGCCGCGTAACAAGGTGAGCTCCCATTTCTTGTCCCAGCTTCTGCCAACCTAGCAGTTCGAAAGCATGTAAAAAAATGCAAGTAGAAAAAAAGGGACCACCTTTGCTGGGAAGGGAACAGCGTTCCGTGTGCCTTTGGCGTTGAGTCATGCCGGCCACATGACCATGGAGATGTCTTCGGACAGCGCTGGCTCTTCGGCTTTGAAACGGAGATGAGCACTGCCCCCTAGAGTCGGGAACGACTAGCACATATGTGCGAGGGGAACCTTTACCTTTTATGCGCTAATCAGGTTCTTGCCAATACTTACATGAACCACCATCTCACCTGAATTTACAATTTTGTGACTGTGATCCCTGAGAGTAAACCCAATGAAACAAAGACATTTTTCTCCTGCTTAACCAAACTCAGGATTCTACCCTGTTTTCCCCAAAATAAGACATCCCCTCATAATAAGCCCAATCGGACTTTTGAGCGCATGGCAATAAGGCCAAGCACTTATTTCAGGGTTCAAAAAAATGTAAGACAGGGTCTTATTTTCGGGGAAATACGGTATGTGATCAGGTAGTGAGTGTCCTTTTTAAGCAGAACATGGTATCTTGCCCCACAGAATGTCTTGACTTCTTTCAAAAAATTGAAGACAGACTGGGGGGAAGAGTAAACCTCCACCTCGAGTTAAGCATGTCTTCCCATTCTTACACTCAGTCAAAAAGGATCAATTACAATCTTTTCACTGAGACTTTTTTCCAATGTTGGTATTATTATTAAAAGTACCATCCGCCCTGAGTCTTCGGAGAGGGGCGGCATACAAATTGAATAAATAAATAAATAAATAAATAATCTTACTGACTTCACAACACCCAACAGTTTTGAAGTTATTCAAATATTTGAGAAAAAAAAACCAACAAAGACAGCACAAAGGTAAATTTCAGCTTTCTCCGGTAAAACCTATCAAACTTGGCTGGTTTGTGCTCTTAATCTAGAGCTCATTCTTTGCTTGCCCATTTCACAAATTGCCATACTTTGCATCCTTATGAATGGACACTGTAAGAATAAAAATCTTAAGCAATTTCTATTCAGAAGAACTCACAAAGGTTGAAACTTAGCCGCAATCATTTCTTACAGCACCACGAAACATCCAAATAACATACCTTTCAATTTAATCTGTGTAGCAGACATCTGTGGTTTTAAATGCCTAAATTCAATTGTCTATTTGGCTAACCAAAGTTAAAAATGAACCTAGTCAAGAAAGGATAAAGGAGCAGATGATACACCACTAAGAACTGGAAAAGCTGATACCCCAGATAACCTTTATAAAATCCAACCTTTTCTTCTTTTTTATTTGTTTATCAGCGGGATAATGGGCCCTTTTCTTTTCTTTTTTAATTCACCAGAGAGGTGGGAACCAATCTTCCTCTTTACTGCTGCTTGAATGAACTTCCAAAAGTTCTGATGAACATCCACAAGTGTTTCTGGGCCAGCTGCGCCCACCTGACTTTGTCAAGCATCAGTTCTTTTGGGACAAACTTCGCACAATCAAAGAGGAAACAACACCGGCTTTTGGGAAAGCTTTTTTTTCCCCCTGGACCCCTAAAGACCACCTCATCTAGCCCAGGCCAAAACCTCACGGGTGGGATGTGGGTCTACCTCTGAGGGGTTAGATCCGCCCAAGCGAAGCTCTGGGAAGCACAGGAAGCCGGGGGTGGAGGTGGGGGTGAGACCCCTATACAGAAATGGGGCTGCACCCTAAAATCCACATCAGGACCGAAAAAGCCGTTATTAGGACCTTTTTTGTGCCACCACCCCCCCAGGGCCGGTTCTACCCCCCCCCCTCTGGATAACCAAGTGTCCCATAAGGCTCGGCCAGTAAGGATGGGCAAGGAAGCCCAAAGGGAGGGAGCCTAATGCGCGGCCAGGTTGCCTCAGGAACGCCCGCCGAGGTCCCGTCAAGCCTGCCTAAGTCAGCCTAGCGAGGTCCCATCATCCACGGCCGCCTCAGGAAGGCCTGGCAGCCCGGTGGTCGCGCCTCCTCTTTCCCCGCCCGCCCGGGGGTCCCGCTGACCTCGCGCACGTCCTGCAGGCACTCGAGGACGGCCAGGTTGTTGGCCCAGCTGTGCTTGGGGCAGACGCGCATCACGTCTTCGCGGCACACCGGCTCTTCCGCCAGCTTCCAGCCGCCGCCGGAGGAGCCAACGCGGGGCACCCGCCCGCCGCCGCCGCCTCCCACGGCCGGCCCGAGCTGAGGCGCCTGCTGCTGCTGCTGCTGCCCCTGCGGCTGGGCCCCCAGTCCCGGCTGCCCCTGCGGCTGCCCCTGCGGCGGGAAAGCGGCGGCGGCGGCCCCGGCCGGCTGAGCCAGCGCCGGCCCGAGGGCCACGAGGAAGAGGAGGAGCAGAGGGCCCGGCCCGCGGAGGCCCCGGGCCCCGACACGTCCGCACGGCGCCATCTTGGATGCGACTCCTTCGCTCGGGCCGCCCCGCCCACCGCGACGACGATGACGACGACGACGCGGAGACACGCCCACCGCGTACCTTGCGCGCGGCGCCACGGGGGCGGAGGCGGCCGTTTCGGGAGGGCGGGGCCGCGCCTCCCCCGTCGCCGGGGCAACCGCTGGGCCCGCCGAGAGATTTCTCCCGGTTCGCGCGCGCGCGCCGCTGCTTCCGGTTGCGAGCCGATCGTCCGTGCAACAGCAAGAACCGGTTGCATCCGCTAGCTCTCTTTACGGACGGGCTGCATCAAGAAGCCGTTCTCTCCTCTAACCATGGTTTATTGTGGAACTGTGTTCTTTGCAGATCACAACGGCTGGGTTCGCCTTAAGCCGAAAGGAGGAGGGGGGGGCTGTTTCAGAATGAAGCGCATCGCACGTTGATCGCTTTTTGTATCTTGGGTAGCTGGACTTCTAGGCTGGCGAATGGGAACAACACACACCTCCCCGCAGCTTTGTCCTGGTTTGCTAACTCAGCCAAGTTGGACTCCTAAAGATGGGCAATATTGAATGTAGAATGGAATGGAATGGAAGAAGAGGAGAAAACAGAACGGAATAGAATATGAAATAAATAGAATAGAATAGAATAGAATACAATAGAAAATAGAATGGAAGAGAAGAGAAAATGAGAAGAGAATAACATAGAATGGAATGGAAGAGAAGAGAAAATGAGAAGAGAAGAGAAAATGAGAATAGAATAGCATAGAATGGAATGGAATAGAATAGAAAATAGAATGGAATGGAATGGAATGGAATGGAATAGAATAGAATAGAATAGAATAGAATAGAATAGAATAGAATAGAATAGACTTTCTGGTCACTTTGAATGTACACTAATCTGCATACATTAAAATGAAACTTCGTTGCATTCAGCTCTCAAAGGGTCACTACCTCCAATATACACTACCTAAGCATGACAAAATAAATACAAGATTATGCATACGCCCACATATATGACACAGAAAAACAAACCCAGTCTAGTGTGCATGGCAAGAAGACCAAACCTTGCGAGTTTAGCAGAGGGATGGCATAGGGAACAAAGCTGTCACAGAATGGGGTATTGAGATTGAGTTGGGGAGGGGGTTGTCTTCCAAGGGCACTAAGCTCCATAGGGAAAAGGGATCCACAGAGAAGCTGCAGAGAAAATGCTGGTCACTGGCAGGTGAAGAGGACAGGAGCCTGTTAGCCCCTTTTCAGACCTGCACCTTTTATTCCAAGGCATTAGCTTTCATGAACAAACAAAGCAAGTTCTCATCCGGGTTTCTAACTTTGTTGTTCTTGCCGAAAAGGAAATTGCAATCCTACCTATTGTGACCCCTTTGGGAAAACTCCCCATTTGTGCAAGGATCTGACCAGCCTATTAAAAGGGGAGGGGGCATCAGCTGAACCAGTCCCTTTGTTGGAGAGTGGATGTGTTACCGAGGGCTGGTTGCAGAGACAGGAAAGGAATCCTCAAGCCGCAACACCCCTCTCAATAGCCACTTAAGACTTACACAATACTTGGAAGCACCAAATCACCTGGGGGGGGGGGCAGGGAGGAGACAAGGAAAAAGTCAGCAGGCACTCCCACGCTTAACAACTTAGGGGTGTGTGTATGCATGTACACAAAAGCTTAACAGACTCGCGCAGGCAAGATGGGAACAATTGCAAACTTGTCCTTGGCTTTACCTGGAGAAGCCAGGGGTGGGAGGAGGGCTCAACCTCTTAAGTCCAGCAGCTGTTCATGCATGCATGCATGTATGTATGTATGTACCGTTTCTCCAAAATAAGACATCCCCTGATAATAAGCCCAATCGGGCTTTTGAGCGCACGGCAATAAGGCCAAGCACTTATTTCAGGGTTCAAAAAAATAAGGGTCTTATTTTCGGGAAAACATGGTATGTATTATTTAGTTTGATTCATGGGGAGGTTGCCCAAATTAATTGGCGCTGGAGATTGCAACACTGCAAACTTTGACACCTCCTGCGTATTTTTTAAATTTATTCTGTTAGCGCTTTTAAAATAACAGAGAAACAGAAACAAAACAAAATACAAAGATAAAAACACATACAATGTTAAAGGGATTTATTCATTTTTATTTTATTTTATTTATTTATTTATTTATTTATTTTAAATGGAAAAAACAAAAGATAAATAGTTACAAGTCTATATATAGTTAGCTCCTGTAATTATTATTCAAGTACAACCTCATTTCTAGCACCTTTATATACCGTAACTGAATTTTTAACCAGGTGTTTTATACAAATGAGTCCCATATCTCAATTAATTTGTCCACACAAAGACAACATCTATAGGCAATCTGCTCATAGGTGGCAAGGGCAACTACATATATAGTGACTTCCTTGATTTTCATAATACAGGAATTAGTACGGCCATTAGAATAACACAAGACAGCACTATCCCCAAAACTAAACCAAATTCTTCCAAAAGAGCTCCATTTTACTAAGTGTTTGGAAGGCTATCAGAAGCCTTTGGGCAAGGTTTTACAACATGCTTGCCATCTTCCACAATTCCCCTGGCTGGAGAATATTGGGAGCTGAAGTCCACTTAATTTAAAGGTGTCAAAATTGGGAAATATTGTCTTTTGGAAGGCTTCTTTATAAAACACATGGTCACAACAGGGCAGCAGCTCATGTTCTCAGCAACTTGATTTCATGAAAGAGATGACCAACATCCATAATTGCATTGGCTGGGTCAATTAATAGTGGAGAAAGCTGAGATTTCTAAGACTTTCCTCCGTTTCTGCAGAGGGATTAGGCCGAGTTTCCTCTGAGTTAAGCCTAAATAAAGATTTATAGTTTTCTGCTTCTCCTTAAAACATGCTTTCTTTAGTGTTGACTATTAATATTCAGCACAATAGAATTTCTGAAGCCCCGAGGCTGCAAAATTTGAGTCCAGTGGCATTTATATGTTCTCTTCTGTATGAATTCACTGAAAGAACACCGCATTGGAATTGGGCAGCCAATAAATTTAAATAAATAATAAGAAATAATAATCATTCTTTCAGATATCTAAGGCAACATTTCATGCACTTACACGGTTTCTCCTCTATATAAATTCTTCAATGCTTGGTAAGATTTGCATTCTGAGTACAGCTCTTTCCTCATTCCAGGGCTAATATGATTTCTTTACTCGGTAAATATTTGAGAAATGATGGTCTTTGTAGCAACACTAAAGGTCTTCTCAGCGTTTATATTATTTATAGAGCCATTTTTCTCCCTACAGAGTAACCTTGTTGGATGCCTTTTCTATGTACATATCTTGCTTTTCTCTCTTCCATGTACATTTTGGTCTGGATTTTAAACAACTTCCATTTCTGCAACCCGATACTCAAAATTAATTTTTGCCTCTTGATACATGGCTCTTTCAAATACACTTGGCTTGGCTTGGCTCATCTGCTGGATGCTGCAATGAAAAGGGATCTGGCCTTAAGAGAGCTAGAGAAAAGAAAACACAGATCTGGAAACAATCCAAGAGCCTTGGTGGCGCAGCAGATTAAAGTACTGCTAAGTAACACCAGCTGCCTGCAATTACTGCAAATTCAAATCTCACCAGGCTCAAGGTTGACTCAGCCTTCCATCCTTTCGAGGTAGGTAAAATGAGGACCCGGATTGTGGGGGCTATAAGCTGACTTTGTATAAAAAAGAACACCGCTTAGTGGGGGCCAAAAGCCCTACTAAGCAGGTATATACAAAAGTATGAAGGCTATTGCTTAACGCATTGTAAGCCACCCTAAGTCTCCGGAGAAGGGCGGCATATAAATTGAATGAATGAATGAATGAATGAATGAATGAATGAATGAATGAATGAATAAATAAATAAATCCAACTGTATTATTTGGAAAAAAGAGAGAGAACACCTAAGTGTCTCTTCCTGGCCAATGGAATCTGCTCTGAAAACTGTGATTATGGTTGGTTACAGTCAACTAGATGTTTACATTGGATTTGGCATTTTATCTCTGAGTCGTTCCCAAGGACCTGTTACTAGATGGGATCACCGAGGATGTAAGCTGTTCTGAGAAAAGCTGCTTTTTGCAACTGACTGATGGGGGTTTTGTCAATGCTGATGGTGTTCAAGCGGTGCTCCAGAGGTTTTTGAGATTGCACACACAAGTTACCCTTTAGTATTGGTACGTTTGTTTTCTTTTGCCACTGTCATCCCACCTCTATTTGCAGATTTAGTATTAACTGGAGGGTCGGACAAATTATTCATTCAGGTTAAATCTCACCTTTTCTCCTGGAGCTCAAAGGTCCCTCCATCTTCCCTCACAACAAGCCTACAAAGTAGGATGGACAAAGATGATCATAAATAGTTCAGTTAAAGGTGAGACACTCTTATCATCAGCATTGTTTGATCAAGATAACAATGAATCCACTTATATTTTTATTGTATAATTTGATTGTATAACTGTATAAACAGAGGATCAAAATCACACAAAGTATTACAAAGCCTTAGCATGACTACACCTGGAATACTGCGTCCAGTTTTGGTCCTGTTACAAAAAAGATGGTGAGACTTTGGAAAAAAGTGTAGAGAAAAGCAACTAAGATGATTAAAAGGCCTGGAGACTAAAAACTATAAGAACAGTTGCAGGAACTGGGTTTGGCTAGTCTAGAGAAAAGAAGGACTGGGGAGGGGGGTCATGATAGCAGTATTCCGGTGGGGGGGGGGGGCTGCCACAAAGAGGATGGGGTCAACTTATTTTCCAAAGCAGAAGGCCGGACAAGAAACAATGGATGGAAACTAATCAAAGAGGGGAGCAACCTGGAATTAAGGAGAAACTTCCTAACGGTGAGAACAATTAACCAGTGAAACAGTTTGCCTTCAGAAATCACGGGCACTCCATCACTGGACATTTTTAAGAAGAGACTGTACAGTCACTTGTCTGAAATGATGTAGGGTCTCCTGCTTGAGAGGGGGATGGATTAGAAGACTTCCAAGGTCCCTTCCAGCTCTATTCTGATTAATCCTTACGCAGAGAAGGCACGTTCTTGTAATACTCTAATACGACTTGACATGAGACTATGATATGGGCCTGGTGGCTCAGCAGACTGATAGCACTGTGATTAACACCAGCTGTCTGCAATTACTGTAAGTTCAAATCTCACCAGGCTCAAGGTTGACTCAGCCTTCCATCCTTTCTAAGGTAGGTAAATTGAGGACCCAGTTTGTGGGGGAAATAAGCTGACTTTGTATAAAATATACAAAAGTATGAAGGCTATTGCTTAACGCACTGTAAGCCGCCCTGAGTCTCCCGAGAAGGGCAGCATATAAATCAATTTTTTTTAAAAAAAAATGTGGTCCTGAGTTCAACTATTTTTTAAATTTCTTGGATTATCTTCTAATTTATTTCTGGAGTTCAAGTAGGCCGGTTTGGCTGACAAAATGTAACTGGTTCAAAATCAGCCAGTAAGTTTCTATGCACAAGAATGAACTTGAATCCACATTAGTCCAACACCTTTTAGCACTAAATACAATCACATCTTGGAAAGTCAGCCTGCCCAGAACGGAAAGAGAAAATATGTTCTCTTCACAAATAACCCCAGGCAGGATTTGGAAATGTTCTCAGTTCCTGCATAATTGTAAAGAAACATTAAAATGGTGATGAAAAAACAAATACACAAGGCACCCTTGACATTTCTAGAAGCAAAGGGAAAAAAACCCAGAACTGAGCTAAACCTTATCCCTGCTTTCCTTCATTACCATTGCTAGCTTAAGATAGGATCTATTGCAGAGAGGAAATTTCATGGCCTGGAAGCAGAAAGACAATAGTGGTACGTAGCTTTCCAAATGTTGCTACATCTTTTCATGCATATGTAATGTTTGCTTTATGCAAATCCTATCCTATCAATATATTCCCACAAACACTGAACTTCAGGTAGTCCTCGACGTATGATCACAAAAATTTGTTGTTAAGCGAGACAGTTGCTAAGTGAGTTTAGCCCTATTTTATTATCTTTCTTGCCACAGTTAAGTGAGTCACTGCAGTTGATAAATTAGTAACACGGTTGTTAAGTGAAGCTGGCTTCCTCCGTTGACCTTGACTTTTGAAGGTCGCAAAAGGGGATCATATGATCTCGGGAAAGTGCAACTTTCACAAATACATGCCAGTTGCCAAATGTCTGAATTTTGATCACATGACCATGGGGTACTGCAACAGTCGTAAGTGTGAAAAGCAGCCATAAGTGGTATTGAAACTTTGAACGGTCACTAAAAGAACTCTTGTAAGTTGAGGACTATATACCTGTACTGTATAAAGGTACAGGTATATAGGGGATTATCCATCAACTCTCCACCCAAAGCTGCAATTTAAGTATGAAAACTGAACAGCCCTCAAATGACCACGAATACATGTAGTCCTTGACTTACGACCACTATTGAACCCAAAATTTGTCGCTACGTGGGACATTTGTTAAGTGAGTTTGGCTCCATTTTACGACCTTTCTTGCCACAGTTGTTAAATGAATCACTGCAACTGTTAAATTAATAGCGCGGTTGTTAAGTGAATCTAGGTTCCCCATTGACTTTGCTTGTCAGAAGGTCAAAAAAGATGATCACAGCGACAGCTCCCCCAGTACCTGGATGAATCGTCGTATCTGGATCTGTTCCAGTCGGGCTTCAGGCCTGGGTACAGCACGGAAACGGCATTGGTCGCGTTGGTTGATGATCTCTGGAGGGCTCGGGACAGGGGTTGTTCCTCTGTCCTGGTCCTATTACACCTCTCAGCGGCTTTTGATACCATCGACCATGGTATCATGCTGCACCGGCTAGAGGAGTTAGGGGTGGGGGGCACCATCCTACGGTGGTTCTCCTCCTTTCTCTCTGACCGGTTGCAGTCTGTGTTGACAGGGGGGCAGAGGTCGACCCCGAGGCCCCTTGTATGTGGGGTGCCACAAGGGTCGGTCCTCTCGCCCCTTCTGTTCAACATTTATGTGAAGCCGCTGGGTGAGATCATCCGTGGTTTCGGGGTGAAGTACCACCAGTACGCTGATGATACTCAGCTGTACATCTCCACCCCGGACCACCCCAATGATGCCCTTGAAGTGATGTCCCGGTGCCTGGAGGCCGTGCGGATCTGGATGGGGAGGAACAGACTCAGGCTCAACCCATCCAAGACCGAGTGGCTGTGGTTTCCGACATCCCGATATAGTCAGTTGGTGCCATCACTGACTATTGGGGGCGAGTCACTGGCCCCCACGGAGAGGGTTCGCAACTTGGGTGTCCTCCTGGACTCACGGCTGTCTTTAGAAGAGCACATGACGGCCGTGGCCAGGGGGACTTTTTATCAGGTCCGCCTGATTCGCCAGTTGCGTCCCTTTCTGGATCGGAACTCGTTACGCACGGTCACTCATGCTCTCGTTACTTCCCGCTTGGACTACTGCAATGCTCTCTACATGGGGCTCCCCTTGAGGAGCACCCGGAGGCTCCAGCTGGTCCAGAATGCGGCCGCGCGGGTGGTTATGGGAGCGACGTGGCGCTCCCATGTGACCCCCCCCTCCTGCGCGAGCTGCACTGGCTCCCGGTGGTCTTCCGGGTGCGCTTCAAGGTTTTGGTTACCACCTTTAGAGCGCTCCATGGCATCGGACCGGGGTATTTACGAGACCGCCTTCTGCTACCAATAGCCTCTCACCGACCAGTACGCTCCCATAGAGAGGGGCTCCTCAGGGTGCCGTCGGCCAAACAGTGTCGACTGGCGGCCCCCAGGGGGAGAGCCTTCTCTGTGGGGGCACCTACCATCTGGAACGAGCTCCCCCCAGAGATACGGAAGATCCCGGACCTGCGCACGTTTCGCCGTGCTCTCAAAACTTTTCTATTTCAGCAAGCTGGCCTGGCCTAACTCCCATCTTTTAAATTTTTTAATTTTTTAATTCGTGATTTTACAAATTGGGTGTTTTAATCTGTGTTTCGGCCGAAATATTTAATAATTTTAAGGGATTTTTTAATATTTGTATTATCTGTATTTTATCTTGGCTGTTCACCGCCCTGAGTCCTTCGGGAGTAGGGCGGTATAAAAAAAAACAAAAAAAAAACATAATCCTGGGACATTGCAACTGTCATAAATATGAGTCAGTTGCCAAGCATCTGAACTTGACCACATGACCATGGGGGTCCTGTTAATGGTTGTAACTATGAAAAGTCACTTTTTTCAGTGAGGTGGTAACTAAGTGAACTGCTGTTCAAGGACTATCTGTATAAGACACTGCACACAGTTACACAACCTCCCCAAATCACATCCCAACTCCAGCCCATGCTGCAAAGAAGCCTCAAAGAAATAAACAATAAGCAGATTTCAGTGTCAAGAGAAATGGCTCATTATTACCAAAAGCTACGGTAGCACACACCCAAACTGTTCAAATTCTAAAGCAAACACTCCATTTAAAAGCCACCAATATACAAATATTTAAAATACAAAAGCACACATTCTCTTTCAACATTGCACCATCAAACACAACTGGCTACAATGCAAACACTCAAACAATTATTCTCCAATTATGTTGCAATGCAAGCACATCGTTCCTCAGAGGTGTATTAAACAAAAACAGGGATAATGTAAACATAGTCCTTCCTCCAAAGTTAGGCCACCGTGTAAATTCCCATAGCCACCATCACCACGGGAGGAATAAGAGTTGTTGTTTTCTTAAGAAAGACACAGAAACCAAGGAAACTTTTCATGGAGTGATGGACATAGAAGACAAAGATGGGGGGGGGGAGAAGTGAGATACAAAAGAAACACTGCAAATTACACTGCAGAGCTGCACACAAAACATCCCCAAATTACTGATAACAGATGAAATTTCAATCATAGAACTACTGTCAAGACAATCTGAAAAGTTAAATGAGCATATTGCTAAATGAGAAATATTGCTAATAGCAAAGCTTCATACTCAGCAGAACCGTTTAAAATGTTACACGATGCAGCTAAAATACTTCTTGTGGTTTGCAAGCAGACATGGAATACAGGTAGTCCTCGACATACAACAGTCCACTTAGTGACCGTTCAAAGTTACAATAACGCTGAAAAAAGTGACTTATGATTGTTTTTCACTTACAACCGTTGCAACATCTGCATGGTCATGTGATCAGAATTCATACACTTAGTAACTGATTCGTATTTATGATGGGGAGCAGTTTCCCGGAATCATGTGATCCCCTTTTGTGACCTTCTGAAAAGCAAAGTCAATGGGGAAGCCAGATTCACTTAACAACCTTGTTACTAGCAACTGCAGTTTCACTTAACAACTGTGGCAAGAAAGGTCGTAAAATCGGGCAAAATTCACTTAACAACTGTCTCGCTTAGCAACAGAAATCTTGGACTCAATTGTCATTAAGTCGAAGACTACCTGTATTTAACATACCTGCACAAATGATGGGAATAGAAATTGGGATTAATATTGCTGGAAAAAACAGCAACAAACTGATAAGATGGCGATTTCTGTGGAAAGCTAGAAGGCAGAAAAACCTAAAAGATTTCTTGTGGAAGGTGAAATAAGGGAATGTAAAAGCCCACCGCAATGCAAGTAGAAAGCTGAAATAGTAACAGAGTTTATCTTCTTAAAATCAGAAACTGCAGGTATTAAGTAAAAAGATACTTGCTTTGGGAAGCAAAACTATGACATATCTGAACAAAACATTAAAGTGCAGAGGCATCATCCTGACAACAAAAGTAGGAATTGTCAAGGTCATAGTTTCACCAGTAGTGACATGATTTTGAAATGCAGATCATCAGAAAGTCTGAAAAAGAAAAATGAATATGTGCAGGAGAAAATTGCTGAGAATATTTTGGACCACAAAAATATATTAAACTAGGTGAAATGAAACCAGACTGCTAAGAAATCTTGACCTTAGAAATCTTGAATGTATTTTTTTTTTTAAAAAAAGACTTGCATATATGTCAATGTTATTATTTGGCAAGCTATGTCTGCATTCTGTCTGTACTAGTTAATTTTCATGCAACACACAGTTCAGAATACCTGGGACAATTGGCTGGCAGCCATGACTCTAGCCTTATCATCTACCCTAAAGGTTCTTTTTAAAATCTCCTCCGGGTGTTATTAGGGGCAGCAAAACTTGCAGGGCCTCGCTGGAGCTTTACCTGATCACAAAGATCACAGGGCACAGTTAAGTTTCACGTGGCACAGAAATTAGTGGACTGATGGGGGATCTAGTTTAATACCAAGCAGCACAAAATGAGCAGGGAATACATGAGATTTGTGTTTCTGCTTGCCAGGTATGTAAGAGAGAGATGGGAAAGAACAGTTGTTATAGAATGATGGATCGATTATTTTATGATAATTTATTTTATAATTATGGCAAACCAGAAGGTGTTATTTTGGTTGTTCTGTCTCCACTCTGCCCTTGGATAGAATATGGCTTCTGCCACAAACATCCACATAAATATAAGCACACGAAAATGTGTATGATGCACACATACATATTTATATGGGAGAGGAAGCAGCCACGACTGATTTCAAGAGGAGTCAGTAACCCTAGGCTGGAAACGCTTAGCATAATTTTTTAAAAAATGTCCGTGTTGGTAATTTTTGATCATTTGAAATTCAAATTCATAATGTGCCTATTTTTTTTTTCTTTTGCGTGAGATCAGCCAGTTTATTTATTTATCAAGTTTATGGCTGCCCATCTCACAGAAGGTAACTGAGTGGTGTACATTTTGTTCCCTGCAGTGCCTCGTTGGCAAGGATGCCAATTTACACTGACTTAGGGACAGAATTGTAAAATCTTCTCAGCTATGACACATGAAAAATGAACACACAATGTAAGAATTGGGCAAGTGTTCGAAGGCAGAATCCTGTATCCTCCAACAATCCTGAGCTGGTATTAATGCCATCTTAACCCTATTCTGTAAATAGGCTATACGCTGCAATAATCCAAGCCCCAAATGAGGTTTACATCCCACATTGGTCAAATGATTTTTAACAGCTTCTTTTCTAAACTGTCAAAATGTGTCTTCTAAGAGAAGTACAGGAAGTCCTCGGCTTACGACCACAACTGAATCAAAAATTTCTGTTGCTAAGTAAAACATTTGTCAAGTGAATTTTGTCCCATTTTACAATTTTTCTTGCCACAGTTATTTAAGTGAATCACTGCAGTATTAAGTTAGGAACACGGTTAAGTGAATCTGGCTTCCCCATTGAGTTTGCTTGTCAGAAGGTCGCAAAACATGACCCCCCTGGGACACTGTCATAAATATGAATCAGTTGCAAAGCATCTGAATTTGGATTACATGATCCTGGGGATGCTGCAACTGTCATAAGTATGAAAAATGGTCATAAGTCACTTTTTTTCAATGCTGTTGTAACTTTGGTCACTAAGTGAACTGTCGTAAGTCAAGGACTATCTGTCTATTGAGAGACTAACACATCAATGCCATCAGTTACATTTACCTCCGCCCTGTTATCAGATGGGCAGTATCTCTAATAGTACTTAGCTTAAATTTTACTACCTATAACCCTTTTACAAATAACAGGTGTTTCAAATATTGAAACTGAAGATGTGCTCTAGATGTTATCTATTGCATAGATAGGATACTCAAAATTCCTTATAAATGCTTGATAAAGAAGTATCTTTATTATACAGAAACTTGTATTTTTAAAGCAATTGCAATTCTGGCATATGTCACAAATTTACCTGTGTTTACATTATAGTGATCATGTACTTTAATATAAAGTGACTTGCTCACTGTTAAAAGCAGAACTGCTGTTTCTATATTCTAGAGATTCCCACAAGATAACAGTTTATTTCAATACATTTCATTAAAAAAAAGTAACTATATTTTCACCTTAG